CGACGCCGGGGTGCTTTCCCTTGAAGACTTCCGCACGATCCTCCTCGAGAAGGCGGCAAGGCTCGAGGTTGAGTGCGAGGGACTCGTCTGCGAGGTTGATGTGGACGAGGCCACCGTGGTCCGCCGGCTCAAGGGCTGGGCCCACGACGTGATTGTGGGTTTCCAAGGGCTTGGTCTCATCCCGTGTTCGGAGACTTGGCGGCTGGCGCCAGGGGAGTTGCTGCCGGAGTACGAGCCTTTCCTGCCCGCCGCTGATCCTGATCCTGAGTTCCAGCCTCGCCGGGGTGCTGTCCTAACGGTAGTCGGCGAGATGGAGGAAGCCGAAGAAGCGGCGAAGGCGGCGGCCGAGGCCGAGGCGGCCAAGAAGGCGGATGGGGCCGGTACTTCCGGCGTGGACAAGGAGGCCGAACTTGCGCCTGGGGGGCGGCCCTCAGAGTTGGATCCGTAGTTTGTTGGTTTTTGGTTTGCCGGCCTGCGTGCCGTTGAGTTGACCGAGTGTGGTCTGAATTTTTTGTGTTACCTTTTGGAGGGATATTTGTAAACTCTTTTTAAAGTATTATGATTATGCCGTGCTAGTTTTTTTTTGAATTCATTTGTGCTTATGATTGTGTCGTACTGTTTTCATGATTGCTTGATGATCGTTTTTAGTTGTTTGGGTTTCGAGGTCGGCTTCGACGCTGTACTCGAGGTGCCGAGCTCGTGATTGAGCTCGGCACATTTCCCGCTGGGGCTGAACCTCATGGTCGGGCTTGTTTTCGTTTTCGGTGCCGAGGTCGTATTTGACCTCGGCGCTTGCTCGCCTCTTCGGATCAGGTCATCGTGTTGGTCCTTAGCCGATGCGATGTTTCTACGGGGTGCCGGCCAGATCATCGTACTGATTTTGGCCAGCACCGGTGCTTATGTTTTTATGAGGTGCCGACCTGGCCATCGTACTGGTCCTAGCCGGCACCGGTACTTACGTTTTTATTAGGTGCCGACCAGGTCATCGTACTGATCCTGGCCGACACCGATCCTTACGTTTTTATGAGGTGCCGACCAGGTCATCGTACTGATCCTGGCCGACACCGATCCTTACGTTTTTACGAGGTGCCGACCAGGTCATCGTACTGATCCTGGCCGACACCGATCCTTACGTTTTTATGAGGTGCCGACCAGGTCATCGTACTGATCCTGGCCGACACCGATCCTTACGTTTTTATAGGGGGAAATCACATTTTTGCAACGTGTTCTTCATTACTTCATTAAAAAAAACGTTACAATAGATTGATCGTCCTACTGGTAAAACTTCTTCAGAAACGCCGAGTTCCAAGGGTATTGATGGGGGGTGCCGTCGAGATGTTCCAGGCGATAGGCCCCGTGAGGGAGGACTTCGCGGATTTTGTATGGCCCCTCCCACTTCGGCTTGAGGGGTCCGGGATCAGGCCCCGTTACCCTCTTGAGAACCAAGTCGCCGACTTGGTACGAGCGCGGTTTGACTTGAGAGTTGATGTATCTTTCACTCCGTCTCTTGTACGCCGCATTTTTCAGTTCGGCTTGCGTCCTGTGCTCTTCGATCAGATCCAGGTTGGCTCTCAGCGACTCGGAGTTAGATTCTTCCTCGAAGTTGGTTACCCGAAACGTTGGGGCGCCGAGCTCGACTGGTATCATGGCTTCGGACCCGTACGCCAGTAAGAACGGCGTCTCGCCAGTGGATGATCTGGCTGTTGTGCGGTAGGCCCAGAGTACGCCCGGGAGTTCCTCCGGCCAGGCCCCTTTCGCGGCTTCAAGTCGGACCTTAAGCCCTTGCTTAATTATTTTGTTCACTGCCTCGACCTGGCCGTTGGACTGAGGGTGGTAGGGTGTCGAGAAGAAGTGTTTGATGTGGTGTTCTTCGCAGAACGACTCCAGCTTCCTCCCTTCAAATTGTTTGCCATTATCGGTGATAATTGAGTTTGGTACCCCGAAACGGCATATGATGGACTTCCACAGGAAATCTATCATTTTCTGTTCTGTTATGGTAGCGAGTGGCTCGGCTTCCGCCCACTTTGTGAAATAATCCACAGCGACCACCGCGTATTTCACCCCGCCTTTTCCGGTAGGGAGGGGGCCGATCAGGTCGACACCCCATCTGGCGAATGGCCACGGGCTGAGGATCGATTTTAAGGGCTGCGACGGCTGGATGATATTGGGTGCGAAGGTTTGACACTTCGCGCATCTCCGGGCCAGGTTGAGGGCGTCCTTCTTCAGACTCGGCCAATAATAGCCCTGTCTAAGGACCTTGTGTGCGAGGGCGTGCCCCCCTGAATGATTCCCGCATACGCCTTCATGGATTTCTTTGAGTATGTACTCGGCGTTTTCTTCATCCACGCACTTGAGCAAAGGCGCCGAGTAGCCTCGTTTGAATAGTTCTCCGGCTACAATCGTGAACCGGGCTGCTCGAGTGCGAAGCTGCCTGGCTTCTTTTGGGTCCGGCGGTAGCGTACCGGCTTCGAGATACGAACGGATTGGGACCATCCAGCCCGAATCTTGACCTTCCACCCCCTGCTCGGCACTCAGCACGGAAGTGCCAGACACGGAGGGTTGCTCCTTGTGTCCGACCTGGACATATTCGACACTTTCCACCCCGGCACTTGAGGCGAGGCGGGCCAGGGCGTCGGCTTGTACGTTCTCAGTCCGAGGGATGTGTTCTATTTTGGCCCGGATTTTGGCTAGGTTCTTCTTCGCCAACCCCAGGTACGGGACCAATCTTGGTTCCTTTACTTTGAACTCCCCGGCTATCTGTTTGACCATTAACATGGAATCTGAATATATGATGAGGTCGGTTAGACTCATAGCTTCTGCCAGGGCGAGTCCGGATAGCAATGACTCATATTCGGCTTCATTGTTAGTTGCCGGGAAGAGGTATTGTATTGAGTGGCAAAAGAGCTTCTTGTGGGGATCCACGAGGACGACTCCCCCGCCTGCTCGTCCGGCAGTGGAGGACCCATCCACGTACATTACCCAAGGTTGCTCGCTCGTTTCCCTGAGTCCCGGTGTGAATTCGGCTATGAAGTCCGATAGTACCTGCCCCTTCATTGCTGTTCGGGGTCGGTAATGGATGTCGTATTGCCCCAGCTCCACTGCCCACTTCACCATCCGACCTGACGTGTCGGGTCGGTGAAGGATTTGCCTCAGCGGGTAGGCGGTGAGCACTGTTATGGAATATTCGAGGAAGTACGGCCTTAATTTCCGCGCGGCAATCACTAAGGCGAATGCAAGTTTTTCCATCGGCGGGTACCTCAGCTCGGCATCGTGAAGTGCCTTGCTGATGTAGTAGACGGGGTGTTGGGAAGACCCGTCCTCTCGGATGAGGGCGGCGCTGACCACCACGTCGGAAACTCCCAAGTAAAAGAAAAGTGTCTCCCCAGGTCGAGGTTTCTGCATAGTTGGAGCTCGGCTCAGGGTCTCTTTGATCGCTTCCAACGCTTGTTGGCATTCCTGGGTCCATTCGAACTTGTGGTTCTTTTTGATTGCGTCGAAGAACGGTTTACACCGGTCTGTCGACTTCGAAATGAAACGACTGAGGGCGGCGAGCTTGCCCGTCAGACTTTGTACTCCTTTGATCGAGGTCGGCGGTCGGAGGTCCTGGACGGCCTTGATCTTTTCGGGATTGGCGTCAATGCCGCGCTGGCTAACGATGTATCCCAGGAATTTTCCCGAGCCGACGCCGAAAGTACACTTCTTAGGGTTTAATTTCATGTTGTAATCACGCAAAATAGAAAACATTTTATTAAGAACGTTTACATGGTCGGACGCATACACCGATTTGACTAGCATGTCATCTACATACACTTCCATACTAACACCTATCAAACTAGCAAACATTTTGTTGACTAAGCGTTGGTAGGTGGCCCCGGCATTCTTCAGTCCGAATGGCATCATGGTGTAGCAGTATAGTCCTCGCGCCGAATAGAAGGAGGTGTGCTCGGCGTCGTCCGGGTGCATCGGGATCTGGTTGTATCCGGAATATGCGTCCATGAAGCTCATCAGTTCGTGCCCTGAGGTGGCGTCCACCATATAATCAATGTGGGGCAAGGGGTAGCTGTCTTTGGGGCATGCCTTGTTGAGGTCTGAAAAGTCGATGCAAAGGCGCCATGCCCCACTGGCCTTCTTCACCAGTACCGGGTTGGCAACCCAGGTCGGATATCGGACTTCCCGGACGTAGTCATTGTCCTTGAGCTTGATCACTTCTTCTTCAAGAGCTTGCTGCCGGTCTGGCCCCAGCTTCCTCCTCTTCTGGACGACCGGCCTGACCGTTGGGTCAACCTGCAATTTATGACAGGCGACCTTCGGGTCAATGTCGACCATGTCTTCGTGGGTCCACGCAAATACATCTGCGTTCTCTCGAAGGAAGCTGGTCAGCTCGGCCTTCAACGGTGCTGGCAGTCTACTGCCGATCCGAAGCTGCTTCTGGCAGGTCTCTTCGTCGATGAAAATGATTTCGACTTCGTCCATGGGCTCGGCCCGCTTTGTACCTCTCTTTTCTTCGTATTGGGTTCGCGGGTCGAGCTCGTCCTCTTCTAACATCGGTTCTTTTCCTGCTCTCCGGCCTCTATCCTGGTCCAGGTCGGGTTCGGCACCTTCTTCCTGCTCGGCGTTCGTCCCGACTTGGGGGAACGGACCTATCTGGGTTTCCAGTATGTGGTCGCTTCGCACGCCGGGGTGGACCATCTCGGCATCCGTGTCCGCCTGACCCCCTTCGACATCTGCTTCTCCTTCCACCTCGATACTTTCAGCAATCCGCCCGACACTTGGCATGATCGGGGACGAGCCTGTCTGGTTTCCCAGCATGCGGTCGCCCCCTTCCTCGCGGGATGCGGCCATATTCGCCTCGGCTTCAAGAGTGGGGTTTGCCGCGTTTATTTCCGCTCGGGGGATAGTCAAGACGCACTCCCGTGCTTCTCTCTGGTCTCCCCGATGGGTTCCTTCCCCGTCCCAAGTCGGGAACTTGATTGAGTAATGGAAAATTGAGACGACTCCTCTCAGCTTGTAAAGGGCCGTTCTGCCGAGGATGGCATTGTATTCGCTCGGGCAGTCCACTATCTTGAAAGTTTCCAGAATTGTTCTCGTGGGCTGCCCCTCCTCCCCGAACTTGATCGGCAGTGTTACCTGCCCAACAGGGGTTGTCATGTGGCCATTGAACCCCTGGATCCGCTCTCGGCAAGGTTGCACTTCCTTCCTGTCAATCCCCATTTTCTTGAACGTGCTATAGTATAAGATGCTCGCATAGGCTCCGGTGTCGACCATTATTCGATGGATCTTGATCGCCATTATCGGGGCCGTGATCACCAGGGCGTCCGAGTGGGGATGGTCGAATAGGAATGCGTCCTCATCTGTGAAGGATATTTTGTTGGGCGTTGGTTCGGACGCCGGCCTGCTTCCGGCGTGCATCACCCTCTGCCCGGCGTAATAAGCCTGCCGGGCGTAGGCCTTTGTCTGCCTCCTCGAGACGAGGGATTCACCCCGGCTCGTGTTCACGCGCCGGGGTAAAAAATCAGTCTGCTCAGTGCCTGGTCGTGGGGACCGGTCTCTCTTTCTTCTCGCGGAGGTGCCGGGCCCACCTTGGTGGACCGGGCTGAACGTTAGGATTTCGTTGGGTGCGCCCTGCTGCGGCTTTTTCCTCCGGGGGTTCACATCGGCATCTTCATCACTATCGAGGCCGTCTCCGAAGCTGCCTCCTTTCTTCCTCTTCTCGCCGGGGCGAGTGAACTTCTTGACTTGCGGGTCGTCTATCAACTTGAGCAGCGCCGCGATCAAATTTCGGCATTGATCTGTGTTGTGTCCATGTGCCTTGTGGTAGGCGCAATATCGGGACTTGTCTACCTTGTCCTTGTCGGTGAACATGGGTTTCGGGTCGGGCAACAAGCCTTTCGCCTTGATCTCCTCATAGACCGCGGCAGCACCAACCGAAAAGACGCCCTGGTAGCTTTCTTTGAGTTCTTCCGCCCTTTGCTTCCTCATAGCCCGCACCTCGGCAAATGACTTGCTGGGTTTCCCCGACTTTTCTTTATTTTTGTCCTTGCTCGACGTAGCGTCCAACACCGGGATGGACGAAGATTCCTCGGCCATTATGTAGTTTTGGGCTTTGACGAGGAATTCCTGGTAGGTTGCGGGCTTGTTTTGGCACAAGGACCATTTAAACAGGGTTTTCGGCCTCAGCCCGGCCTGCACAGAGACGAGCAGGGTCTCGGGGTGGCACTGTTCCATATTCTGAACACGGTCGTTAAACCGAGTGATATAATCATTCAGGCTCTCGTCCTCACCTTGGACGATGTTGGCGATTGATTCCTTGGGGGCCAGGCTGATCTGCGATCCAATGAAGTGCGATCGGAAAGCCGACCTGAGCTGGCCCCAAGTGCAGATGGAGTGTGGATACAATGAATGGTACCACCTCTGCGCCTTTGGTCCCAGGGTCAAGGAAAACATGCGACAGCGTAAGGCGTCCGTCGCGCCGTGCAGGTCCATCCATGAGGTGTAAAGGCCGATGTGGGAGTCGGGATCCGAGTTCCCATCGTAAAGTCCGAGCTGCGGCACCTTGATCTTCTGGGGTACCGGCTCGCGCAAGATGTCGGGAGAGAGAGGGGAGGCGTGGTCCACGACGCGTGGCGCGGGTTGTGAGTAGTGAGGAGGCGATGTGCCCCTTGGGGGAGAGCGCCGACCTTCCAATTCGGCAATTCTGCGCTTAAGGGCCGCGACTTCGTCCGCGTCACGCCCGATGTTCTTGCCCCGCTCAATCACGTCCCGGAGGTCGCGGTTGGCCTGGGTTTTGTCCCCAAGGCGCTGGTACACGGAGCGCCGTATGACCTGGAGGCTCCGGTCTTGCTGGCTTTCGCCCGTCTGCTCCGTCGGCGCCGGTCTGGCGTTTTTCTCGCGCCTGGCCTGAGCGGAGCGGTTGGGTGATTGAGCCGTCGTCTTGGATTTGGCGGGTTTTTTCTGCTGTCCCCCGGCCTCCTTGTCGGGGGTTTGGAGCAAGGTGTTGACGGGATTTTCTGTGGCCGCCACAGTGTTTCCCCCGGGTGCCTGGCTCGCCAGGGCCCTGGCGAAGACCCCTTCCAGGGCTTTGAGTACGTCGGGGTGCTGTATGGCAGCAGCAAAGGTAGGAACAGGAAGAACGGGGACTTGGGTCCCTTGCTTGTTGCGGCGAGAAGTTTCTTCGCCGTTGCGTCGGCGGGGCTGAGCGTCGGACTGCTGGGTTGACTCGTTGTTGCTGGATGAGGCCATCTCGGACGAGATTTTAAGTGGATGGAAGTGAGTGAATATGGGATTTCACAAGGTCGAACAATTCACACCAAGCAACTTATGGTGCCCTCCTTCTAGCGCCAAACTGTTGACGAGCGTTTTCGGTCAACGGTTAAAAATAAAGGGTATTGAAAGCAAGACTGAAAAAGGGGAGAATAATTCGATTTAATTACGTTTTTATTAGACGATCACGAGGTCGGCCTCTCGTACGAGGTCGGCACTTGCGATATACTTACAATTCTTACAAGGGGTTTCTTACAGTTTGTAGAGAGAGAAAATAGAGAGAAGGCAGAGTTAGTTGAATTTCAACAACCTAAAATAAATGAGGTGAGCTGCTATTTATAGTGATCTTTAATGTGGCACTATTCGGCTACTGTTCACCGGTCTTGTCGTACAGTAATTTGGCAGGGCAGTTCGGCGTCTCCCTGACGCTAATTCAATGCGATTTGAGGTTTCTTCAATCATTGCCTGACGGGCATTAAATGCCAGCATGGGGGCATTTAATGCTGGATGGCTTTGCTGACTCAGGCTGGCTGGTAGGGGGCTAGACCATGATTACCTGTCCCATCGTCCAATGATGACCTCCCAAGTGGGAATATTTTAATGTTCATTGAGGCCCGCTCGTCGTCCCTGGTCGGCCTCCTCATACTCTCAGGTCGGCACTTCGTTCGTAGATGCTCGTGAGACTACGAGCAATCCCCTGCCTGTCCGGCACCCATCCAGGTCGGCAGCTCCCCGGCCTGAGTCGGGCGCCGGGCTGAGAATCTGTTCCCAGGGCGGTTTCCCACCCCTCTAATCCGCGGTCCAGCTCGGCACTTTCTCATCAGACCGGGTTCTTGTTTCGATCCGGAGGGGCTGAGTATCCACGTACAACAGATCAGCAGCACAAAATAGAAAACATCGTCAATATTGAAACAAATTAGCACACAATGTGGCAACAAAAAGAAAACTCTCAAAGTGCTGAGATACTCAATACCATCTTCAATGTCATGAAAATACCAACATCGTAGCTACTATTCCTCACGACCTGACCGAACCAGCATTGCACCCAAAGCCATAACAATACGAATTACACCTTAATCACATTCGCTACCACCGTGATGATAATCGTAATTTTAATTTCAACAAGCTCCTCGATTGTAGGGATAGAATACACCAACATTTGTATCATGTTGTACAAATCATAAGCTAATAAACCTACCTATCTTTTTTGTAAGCTATAAACATGTTGGATAGAATACCAACATTTTTTGAAACTAATAAACCTCCCACTCTTTCGGAACCTCACTTAAAATCGAACAAATCATAAGCTCATTTTTTGAGTCTAACAGGCTTTCCTCGTGGAAAAACACCGGATACAAATGTTGTGCTTGGCAAGGCGTAAAGTGTGATAAATCGATTGGGCATGTTATCGGGCTCGATCTCAGAAATCGAGTTCTAGATGAATATGAGTACCCGAGCTTTGATAGCATGTTACAAAACGAAACACTTGATTCTTCCCTACTCGAAATGAAGCATCTCAAGTACCTTGACTTGAGCTGGAATAATTTCAATGGCAGCTCAATTCCAGTATTCCTAGAATCATTAAACCAGTTACAATATCTCAATTTCTCATATGCAGGCTTTGGATGCATTATCCCTCACCAGCTCGGTAACCTCTCAATTTCCCCATATGCAAATTTAACATAGAGGACTACGTTCTTACTAAAATGGCATACTAACGTATCTTTGGACTGAAGATGACTTGAATGGATTTTAAGTATAGCGGCACCTTCAAAAAGTGGACGTAGGAAAAGTCTACTCAATCCTCGTTTACTTCTCTTGAAGGAAGTGGATAATTAATTTTTTCACATCATATCATCTGTTTATTTTAAATAATTGTGATAGGACTCTTTCTAGTTGGCACCCATGTGACATGCGAGTCCCACAATGTATCCTTCGTTCGCTGATAAAATAAATCTCAGGGGAAGGCCAAATTTTTTTCTCGTTTAGTACAATGCCCATTTTATTCGGTTTTTTTTATCCAGTGAAGTAAACGTAGAACAATTGGCTGACCTGTAAAATTGTTGGATTATTTTGTTTAATTCCATGGAGCAAAATAAATGAGTCCAATATGTTTATGTTATAACAACATAAAATCCTAATTTAACAATCTCAAATTGAAATGTGACGTGCTAAGTAAATTGAATAGCTGTATGTGAAAATTTACAGCTTTTTTTTTTTTT